ACTCTTGTACTTAGAGCTATATTCCAGCTCAATATTAGTTTTTCTGAGCGAAGCATTTAGATGTAACAACACGAGCAATTCCTTACATCCTCTTTTTTGTGTTTACCAATTAATACGAGTTTTACTCTGATATTCTTTTTTTCACTCTATGCACGTGAACTAGGTATGCACCTGAAGCAAACAGATGTGGGACCACGTGCATTCCCCTCCATCCGTTTCTCTTATGGTTGCCTCTCTTGTCTATTAATGTATGGTTAACAGTGTATATAGTAATTAATTATTTTCAATTTGTTTATACTCCCAACCTCTTCACTGACATTTACTTTTCCAACACACCGTTTACTCTGAGATAACCGTAACAGCTATTTTTTGTGTAAATCCAACCCATACGTCTAAATCAAAGAATTATAGTCCAACATAAACGATCGTCGTCGTTTGACTACACTTATATCGCACCATAATCAAACCCAATCGTAGCATACCATACTATCCATATGGTACACCATACTAATCACAGATCATTAGAGCAACTTGACGAATACATCAATATAATAAACAATGGGTGCAGAACGTATCAACACAATTGTATAATTCCATTGCACAAGCCGGAACAAGTTTTCCTAGCATTAATATCACAATTGTAGAATTTGATTGTAGAATTCCATTGCACAATTGTAGAATTCCATTCCATTGCACAAGTTTTTCTAGCATTAATATCTAGCTTTAGGTACTGAGCACAAGTCGGACTTAAAGGGAGAATGAGTTTGATTATTAATAATGGCGTTCGATTACACAAATTTTATACAACCAAATCCGAAAACCCCATAACATCATTCGTCTTAAAAAAGCAAATATTAACCAACATAAACGATTGTCGTCCTTTCATTACCCTTCTATCACAACATACTCAACACCGATCGTACCACACCATACAACTCATATGGTACACCATACTAATCACATATCATTAGAACAATTTCACGTGTACACCAATATAAGTAACAATGGTTGCAGGACATATTCCCACAAATGTAGCAATTAATTGAACAGTCTGGCCACGGCACTGATGGGCACACCGGAAACCTAAATGGACTCAACATGAAGCCACTATATGTTGGTTTGAATTCTATTAGCCTTTCAAGAAGGCTATCGCCAAGCTCCCTTATTCGTGGTGAGTCATGAGGAGCAAAAGTTGCAAATAAAGTAGTAAAATACTCGTTTGCACATTCACATTTGTCAGCGCAAACACTGAAAATCGCAGCTACAAATGTGGCTCTACTAGATTTTGGCACGTTGGTGTCTAACAAGTCGATTGCACCTTCAAAATCCTCAGCCGACAAAGCTAGCCGCAGACTTTCAGAGTAGACAGCCTCCGGATTATCTGCTTCTAAACAACGTTGAAAGAATGGCCTTCCATTCTCTCCTGGAAATATGTACTCAAGTTCAGAACAAAGGTTGCGAATAAAACAAGTTCCGACCGAATACACCATGTCTCTGCCTTCTCTCTCCATAAAAATCCAGGCCGCGAGATGTTCGTGCCCTTCTTCACCTACCAAAGTTACGATTTTCTTCATGATATCCCTTGGGATGGTCGGTAGTGTCATTTTGGAACAATTTATTTTTCTGATATAAACTTTCAAACCTATCACATGTACACATTACCGTTACTTTTATTTATATATACCTTTCATATATTTAAAGAAATGTTATTAATTTTAATCAATACACACAATGATAGCCACGATACACTTAAGGAATGATATGATACGTAATAACATACCATGTAAAAAAACACAAGTCATACAAAAGACCTTTCTAGTATTTAATATAGCATACCATGTTTTGGTTTACTTTCCAACACGCGTATAGTATGCTATTCAACATTACACGTGTGTAAAAGCATAACTAGATAGCATTCAACCTCGCTGATAAAAGTCATACGAATTCGGCGAGACTTTCAAACCGAAATCCATTATTACTAATTCTACGCATGTTGCTTTAATAAAAAGTACCTCCGGATTAGCCGCATTTAGACATTGCTCGAAGAATGGTTTTCCTTCTTCGCCAGGGAAAATGTTACCTGTCTGTGAACAAAGGTTATACAGCGAGCATGTACTTAGCACCTCATCTGAGTACACCATGTCTCGTCCCTCTTTACCTGCTAGTAGTCAATGCCCAACTATAATTTCAAAAAATATAGGAGATCTCTCTCTTACGGCACATTCGTCTACGTTTTCGTCTTTAGAACAACAAAACTCAAAAACATCACTAAAGATAAAATTATAGTGATGAATATGCACCAACAGAAGATGATAAATCAATAAATCATAAACTCAAAATTATATGAACAGTAGTCAATGGCAAACATCATTAAAACACATGAAAAAAAAAAAGAAACAAACGGAGATGAAGTTTGAAGTATCAATAGGAAATTGGGTAAACTCATCTCCTTTGAAATTTCATATGAGACGACGGCTAATGATCGTGTGTGTATATATATATATATAAGTTCAGCTACTAGATTAACCCTACGAAAATGAAACAAGAAGCCCATAGTTGTATTTTCTAAACCATCAGCCCATCATTATACAATTATATGCATATTCCAAAACTTATCCAAAATTATAGAATTTCGAGGTGAGGGAGACGAGAAGAAGAATAAAAATTTTGCAAGTTTTAGTTGGAATTTTTTAATTCTAAAATTTCGGCTAACTCTCTTTAAATAACATCTCTTGAGGTGTAAAATTTTATTGCTTTATTTTCAACTAAAATCATAAGCAAAGTCTCTTAAAATCTCATTAACCATTTTTTCTCTGAAAAAATGTTATTGT